AGATGGCTCATTTGGCACAGCTGGTGGCCACTCAGAAATTTACATTATTCATGCTGTTGGCGGTGCTAGTACTTCACTAACTACATGCTAATGTTGTAATATGCTATGACAGTTTAATCCCACAGGCCATAAGAATGTTAAAGAACATCCATAACATTCATCTGGTTGTAACTTATACAACGTTTAAAGGTGGGGTATGTAATTTTGGAGAAACCAGCTCGAGTGCGCTAGAATTTGAAAGTAGTTTGTGCACAGATGGAAGGCGGACAGGCAGGTATAGGCCATCCAGTTATTTGAGCCGGGCCGGCTAAAATGATTGGTCGTGCTATTTTCTACGGCTTCCACAGATGAATTTGTTTAATGTATTAATTGTCAAAGCATTTAATATATTCATTGCTATCGGGATGTTAAGAGCATTCCATGGAATATAACAAGACGTGTTTCTGAAATAAATGATATACTCCACCTTTAATTGTACTATGTTGATTTCTTTGCACCAAGATATCAAGACAGATTCTTTGAAGCGGATTCTTTGCAATAATAGTTAAAAGGGTTGCTTTCATTGTGAATTTTATTATCTTATTTGGTGCTATGAGGTGTTTTGAGTCAAAGAAGGGTCTGCAAGTCTTATCATTCAAGTCCTGAGTTTGAACTTTGACAAATTAGTCCTAAACGAGTCATAATGCCCTCATCACCAATTTAAACCTGCACGTTTTGCATACTGCATTTCATTGTGTGTTCAATACAGCATATTATCTGGTCGTGCTAACAAAGCTAACCTGATCAGATCATTGTTGTCGGGACGCCATTCCCAGCTCTGATTCTGACTTTCCTGTACATTTGGAAACATATCAAAATTCTTACTCGCGTCCACACCTCTGCAATCCATATCATTTAATTTCACAGATTTTTTATTTAAAGCCAATTCGACTTTGACTCGATAAAACTCAATTACCCTGCTTCAAGATTTATTCAGCTAGGCCAGGGGTGGCCAACCAGTCAGAGGTTAAGAGCCACATTTTTTCTATGTTACTGCAAAGAGCCACATCAAACACACTGATACCGCTTGTTTCAGTTTTTTGTTTTCTGGAGACAAGATTTCAACCATGTCATTGATGCATTTTTGTGGCATTGGGATATATATTTTTTAAATCCTCTGGAGCAGAGAGAGGAGCTGTGGATTATTGTTATTGATTAATGCATCAGTGTTTCTTAGGGTCAAAAACACTAAACTCACAACTTGAAATGAAAGCGTTTAGTTTATTTAATAAAAGAGCACATGTTCAATGTGAAAAGTGACAGTAGTTATAGATTATTTGCAATTTGGTGCTATGTATATATTTAAAAGAAATACAATTATATATTTTTTTTAAACACCTTGAATTTCAGGGGGGGTGCGGGGCTCCGTTGGCGGGGCGCAGCGCCCCTCCAAGACAATGGTAGGGGAAACACTGGATAATGTTTAATCAACGATAGGTTTTCCCCCCCTCAAAGGTGATTGGTTCACTGCATCGCAGGTATTATTGTGATTGGCTCTTGGGCCACATCAAAATTAGACTTGCTGTCATCCTCTCATACTGACACCTGACACCACACATACACACGTAGGGAGAGCCGGGACGAAAGTAACACGGGACGAAAGTAACGGAGCGATTTTATCCGAGCCCAAACAACTTTGACCGGCCAAATTACGTCAGAATTATCAGCATTCGATACTTAACAGACCTACTAAATATTAGGTTTAACTCTGAGGAGTAGTGTTGTCAGGGTACCAACATTTTGGTTTCGATACCAAGTCAAGAATTGCGATTCCGATTATTTTTCGATACTTTTCTTAAAAAAGGGAAACAGTCTTCAATGTAATTATTGTGCTTTATTTCACACCAGAACCAGAACCATAACACAACCTTTAAACAATGAGAACAATAAATACAATAAATGACAAGAATTCGTATTAAATAAAATTAATACATTTCTCACAGACAGGCCGAGGCGCAGCGGCAGTTGCACTCCCACTTGCAGCCATGCTTCTCGTTTTCTCACATGCTCTGGCAGCTAGCGCGTGCACGAAAGAGGGGAGGGACTTAGAGCGTGCTTGAGAGGGGCGGGACTGCAGGCACGGCTGCAGTGCAGGGAGTGGAAGCAGAGCGCTGAACACACACGGCTCTTATTAAAACAGCGCTTTCTCACCGGAGTACTTTTCTCCGTCATTCTTAAAGTACCGATACTAATGAAACGGAGGAATCGTAACGTTTTTAACGGCAGGGTATTGCGTTACCTTTCAAGTATTGGTACACCGTGCAACACTAGTCAGGAGTCAGTGTCTCTCCCCCAAACTCACACATATACAATTCGATATGAACTGAAGAGCCGCATGAAACTAGGCAAAGAGCCGCATGCGGCTCGAGAGCCGCGGGTTGGCCACCCCTGAGCTAGGCAGTTAAATTTGACTTCTCATTAAGTTAAAAGTAGGGCCGGGACTCGATTAAAAAAATTAATCTAATTAATTAGAGGCTTTGTAATTAATTAATCGAAATTAATCGCATTTTTAATCGCATATACATATTTGACCTAAGAACAGTGAGAAGCAATTTTTTTTCACATGGATTTTAGTATACCATTAGGCGCATTCACACCGCAGTACTTTTCCCACAAAGGTTCATGAGAACTCTTTGAACCTGGGGGTGGATTAGGCAAATGAAGCCGCTGACGTCACTTCTTCTTCTTCTGCTTTGGGTTTACTGGCAGGCCGCAAACCACTTCACGGCGTATACTGCCGCCCAAAGTCCCCGGCCGGAAGTCCCCGGAGTTGGGGACTGGCTTCAGTAGAAGCTGCGGGGAGTCCCAGCAGCCTTCCGAGTAAATCGCCAGAACGCCGACACCTCATCTCCACCGCTCCCATGTTTTATTTTGTGTTGCCATAAGTTAGTCTCTCTGCGTTTCTGCGCTGGGCTGATGCTAATAATGCTAATGCGAGGATAATAAAATGGCGGCTTCACAACACTTTTTGGGAGTTTTACGGGGCGTGGTTTGCAATCCGCCCAGCCAATCAGAAATATAGCTCTTTTCTCACAAGAGAGCCGTACGAAAGTCCCTGCTCTCTAGCAGCTCTCTGCTCTCTAGCAGGGACTTTCGTGGGGGTAAAAAGGTTCTCATTAACTAATTTTAGTACCGGCTCTTTTTGGTGTGAACGCGATAAAAGAGGCTAACGTCCACGCTAGCTGCTATATGTTTTGCATTGAGGTGATACTTGAGGCTTGATGTGCTGCGGTGATATGCGAATTCCTTTTTGCATAATTTGCACACAACCGTGCTCTTATCGACGCTTCCATCCGTCCGTTTTTTAAAACAACATTTCCCACTGTTGTTCACTGTGGTTTGTTGTTGTCTGAAGTCATGAACGTTAGTTAGTGCTCCAGTATAATCGGTACGCCTGAAACTCATCCAGTGAGAAACGTTCCGCGGTGCAAAAATAAGTGCGATTAAAATGCGTTAATTTTTTTAACGCGTTAATTTTTGTGTAATTAATTAATCTTAATTAACGCGTTAAAGTCCCGGCCCTAGTTAAAAGTCACCTTATGCTGCATTTATGATAATACAGTGTCCTATGATATCATATAATTGGGTCTCGGTATCCTTCCTTTATCCTTGTGCAATGTTATTAGAGGTTACAGTACTGACCTTATCTCTCTACATTTGGCGACTCTGCGAGTGAGTGCGGTCGTCTTTCTACCAGAAGGTTGTCGGTTCGATCCCAGCCCATGCAGTCAACACGTCGATGTATCCTTGGGCAAGATACTGAAGCCTGAGTTGCTCCTGATGACCGATGGTGTGTGAGTGTGTGTGAGTGTTAGCTTCCATAGAGCAAGTGGTACTGCTCTGCATAAATGAGGTGTGAATGGGTGAATGACTCGTAGTATGTAACATGCTTTGAGAGAAAATACCTGATAAAGTGCTATATAAGTACAGGCAATTTACATTCAACTCTTCCTCATAATGCAAACTGTGAACCTTTGCACATTTCTCTGACAATTTTGCACATTTCTGCACAATACTTCAACAATATATATTTTTTGATTGATTTAAAAATAGGATGAGTAATGAAACTTTGTAATCTGTACATGGACTTGTATGAATTTATTTTTCAAACCTTTTTTCTACTATGTTTTCCTCTTTTCATTGATTTTTTAATGTGTTTTATTTTTGCCCTCGTAATGACCTTTTAAAAAAAAATCTTACCTGGATGACTAACGGGAGGGCTATTTTCTTTATAAGGTATGCTAATAGCCGCCCACTTCATCTACATTTGTTTTCCATAGTCTGTTTAATTGATTGTCTGTAACATTACATTTAATTAGCAGAATGAAAAAAAACTGATACTGTAGGCTACATTGTTTTAATGGTATTTTGTAATATGTTTCAATGTATATTTTTAATATATTTCCTTTTTTCCCCCTCTTAACAGTTCCTCTAATTTTTCGATTTTCATTCCAATCACAAACCAAACAAATGACTTATATGTGATAAAAACCTACTTTAACCGTCTTCTGACTAAGATTCCTTCATTTATCATAATGATTCTGGATTTTTAATAAAAAAGGGCTTTTAATACAAAAATGCCAGCTGCAGAGGGATAAAATGCGCAAAAATAAACTGCCCTACATCCTCAATTTCTTTTTTCGGGTGCGCTTTTAATACACGGATACGGGCGACGCCAGAATAAATGCGGCACAGTGGGAAGGAATGGATTGGGGCGATACCAACTGAGCATTCCAATGGGGGTGGAGCAAGGAACATCCGGGAAATAAAACGAATACACACCAAAACTAATACATTAACGTGTATCACAGAGTGTGTGTAGAGGTTATTGAAGTAAACACATTTTGTAATTTATTGTGTACGGGTCCTTTTTTCTCAAAAATCTTAATCTGTATCTGAATTACCCCCTTTCCAGCTCCCATCCACCGCACATGTATTCCTATCGTCGGTTGTTACGAGGACCAGAACGAGGCTCCAGTCGAAGGCGGCAAGATATGCACTTTTCTCCCGAAACTTATTCAGGTTTTTCCCGAGACTGTGGATATCTTTTCCTCCGTATTTTGTTTTCTATTCATCGCCATTTTAACCCGCTTGGATTACCACTCTACGTTTTTTAAGGAATACCTTGTTTTGTCCATATAAAAGGTGAGTTTAGCTGATGCTTCAGAGCTCGTTTTTAAAATCCTTCTCACTGTGGGAACTTTAACGGTTAGGAGTTTTACAAGTGTGACGTCATAAAACAACTCTCAAACATACGACTGCTTTTTAAATGAAGTGTGTGTGTGGTTTTATGGAGTATTTGTAGTATTTTTGTAGCGTGTAAACACGATTTAAGCGACTTTTTGGGTTGTTAAGTTGCTTCACCATCGCGGATGCTGCCAGGATATTTCACAGGGACTGTTGCCATGAAATCTGAGAAACCAAATGTATTTTTCCTTTTTTTGGGGCATTTTGCATTTAATTGATATGGCACAGACATGTTAAACTGAATAAGAAGCATGGTGAATTTAAGGGAATTGATAACTTTATTTTATTCATTTTTTATTAGTTTACGTAGGCTACCAATAATGTGATTTTACCCAAAACACACCTGGTAAACTCACTAAAAATACCTTTAGCCAGTGTATTGTGTTGTCAAAGTCCATTATTTTTTAGAAAGAGTGGCCAAAATGTCTCCCTTTTATTGTTGTGTAATTACCATACATACACATCCCTTCAACAGTACTTTAAACAGGGCTCCAAATGACCATTTACAGGCCAAATGCTGGTGAAATATGTAGAAAAAGTAGCTTTTAGTTTCGTTTTGTTGCCTTTAATTGATAGGGACAATACAATGTAACTTGCAGATCATGGAACTAATGCTGCAAAGAGACTTTAAAGCTAATTTCCAACTTTTTTTTACTTGTACAGGTTAGTCAAAATACACAGCTTTCAATATCATAAAACCACAATACAGTATGAATATAGAAATGCATTACATTTCGCAATACTTTGTCATTTACAGTCACTTTGTTCTAAATGGGTACAGCTATTTAACCTTTGTGTATATTATATATGCAATTAACAGATTTCAGTTGCTTGCTATTTCCAGAGTTGACCGTCCTTTATGGAGAAACCAGTTTGTCCAAGTTTAGATTTACAATGTGCTATTTGCAACCAGAAAACATGCACTAGCCATTTGGTCTGTGGACCAAAATAAAGGTTATTTTGACTGCAAAGCATGTGTTAATGTTTTTAAAGGCACAGAATAATGTGTAACTGGAGCTGCACATTCCCCTTCTTTCTTTCCCTCTAAACAAACTGCATGTTGTTTTCTTAGCTCTCAGGAATGTCAACAATTCCCCCGCCTGCTTGATATCAGACCACAGAGCGATCTGGGGGAAAGGAGTTCCTCACGTTGAACACATTTTAGGCATTGTTAGGGTCCCCATTTTCCAAGACTTTGTGACCCATGCTGTGCTTTATCATAATACTTCAAGTCTTAGGGCCAATCCTGTTTCCAGAGAGGTCAGAGGTCAGCACTCCCTGGAAGGGTTAGGGGCAGGGTTAGGTCAAGGACACTTCAGCAGGGATGATGCTTTCTTTAAAAAAAAAACTTGTGTCCTGTGGTTGCTTGATTGAATTACCCTGTCATTCCAAACATGTGTGTGGTTGTTATTGTAGTATTGTTGCATAGATGTTGCACAATTACTTTTGGGAACATTTTTACCAAATTAAATCAGGAGTTTTGACCACAAAAGTGAGAGTCAAGAGAGAGGATTGCGTTTGAGACTCTTCCAGTAGACATTAAAGCTGAAAACAAGAGTTGATTAACTGATAAGTAATAATGATCTGGAAATATTTTGAAAGTCAATTGAGTATTCTTCATGCAAATGGTATTAAAAGCGGTTTCCAGCCTCTCAAATCTGGAATGTTCTTGTTTTTGTTTTGTTTTGAGTGAACATCTTTGACAAAGTAAGCCCTCACCTTGGACTGGTCTCTAAAAAACCTTGTCATCTTGTCAAAAACTGTCATCCAAGTTCCTCAAACAATGAAACGTTAATGAAAATAACAGTTATTGGGATCCCTACCATAGTACACATGGTAGGTTGGTAGGCTGTGTGGGTCTTTTCCCAGCATGCCAGGTGTCTGCTACTCCAGCTGTGTGTGTTGGGGGGGGGGGGGGGTAGGAAAACAAACTAGTGTTTTTGTGATTGTGAAGGTCTCAGAGTGGAAACCAAGTGAATGGTAGGAAGAGAGTTGCCTGAGGAGGAAACAACAAGGAAACCTGTGCACAGAGATGGTGTGTGTGTGTCTGTGTCGGTGACTCATACTGATGGTTCTGTGCAGGAATGTGTGATGGGATAGCCCAGCATTGCACAAGGCAATCCCCCCCCCCACTTACAATTGTATGCGAGTAACAGCTGTGTTTTGGCTTTTTGTTCTGGAGCTTAAGACCTTTTTTATTCAGGTGTGTGAAAAGGCCCTCTCCTGCTGATGTTCAGGTGTATCTCAGTATGTAGTGTCTCTACTTTAAAGAGTCCTCTCCTGCTGATGTTCAGGTGTATATCAGTATGTAGTGTCTCTACTTTAAAGAGTCCTCTCCTGCTGATGTTCAGGTGTATATCAGTATGTAGCGTCTCTACTTTAAAGAGTCCTCTCCTGCTGATGTTCAGGTGTATATCAGTATGTAGCGTCTCTACTTTAAAGAGTCCTCTCCTGCTGATGTTCAGGTGTATATCAGTATGTAGTGTCTCTACTTTAAAGAGTCCTCTCCTGATGATGTTCAGGTGTATATCAGTATGTAGTGTCTCTACTTTAAAGAGTCCTCTCCTGCTGATGTTCAGGTGTATATCAGTATGTAGTGCCTCTACTTTAAAGAGTCCTCTCCTGCTGATGTTCAGGTGTATATCTATGTAGTGTCTCTACTTTAAAGAGTCCTCTCCTGCTGATGTTCAGGTGTATATCAGTATGTAGTGTCTCTACTTTAAAGAGTCCTCTCCTGCTGATGTTCAGGTGTATATCAGTATGTAGTGTCTCTACTTTAAAGAGTCCTCTCCTGCTGATGTTCAGGTGTATATCAGTAGTAGTAGAGATGTCCCGCCCCCTTTGCCTATCACGTACAATGTGTTGGACGGCGAGCCAATAGGAGTGCAAGTGTTACACAGTGACGCATGTTCCGGAAATAAACAGTCTATGATAAATAACATAATAATCGGTTACAACCATTTTTAAATACTTTGCCGAATGTGCAAATGTTTCTACTCTAGCAAACTCTAGACATTTGAATTTTTACAACAATTAAGTAACATAACAATGTATATTTGTTGTCTCAATAAACATTTGGGAACATTTCCCCTAAGTATGTGTATTCATATTCTATTTATTCTAGTGTTAAGTTCACATTTATTCCAAACGACGTTAAACATGTATTTAGTCAATAACTTACCATATTCTATAAACTCTTATTAAATGCTTCTAACCTCGCTAGATTGCACCAGAAATATTAGTCGTTTTTAATTTATACTAAAATAATTGTACCAATGTCTACAATAGAAGTACATGTTGACATAATTGAAATGTCATTGCCTCCTTGTCTAATATAACTAATTATAACAGTGCAGATTTCAAATGACTTATATAATTATAATACTTGATGGAAAAATATTTAACCTTCATAGATTGACTTACTTTTAGACACTTCCATTCATCTGAAATCAGGAAAGTTGGTTGTTTGGAACTTCTCTTTGCTCCTGAAACCTCCTGTTCACCTGTTACACACTTGTTTCAGTGAGCGCTGAGTCGGTTGTTTTCCTGAGTTTATCAGTGATTTCCTCCGTATTAAACTGAGCATCAGAAGCTCAGCTGCATCCTCAGCCTCAGGCGTTTCTTCCTCTCCTGCTGAAACTACGCAGAGAAAGCCAAACCATTACACAGCAGTACCTGAGCTGAGCAGATAACCTGTCATTTAACATAATCGTCTTCTAGTTATGCAAATGATCTCACAGAAACCTTGAAAACGCTCGGAGGGGATTATTACACCGTCTCAGAGGTTTGTTTATAAAATGCTCTTGCTTGACTCTATCTCACAATCGGCATTGGCCTTGTTTTGGGAAGATAAGGTGTAAGAGGAACCCTGTTGTGTGTTTCAGGAAAGTAACGGAGGAATGAGGGCGGATGGGATGACTGTTATTGTCATAAAGATGGAGGAACTCTATCTCTTACATGTGTTATCTCCTCTGTCCTGTAAGTAAACTATACAGGCGCCCCAAGCTCTACTTATATCACTGCACTATCTCTCTGTTGTGTCTCAGGAAAGTGAGAGTTTAAAGAATACAGAAAATAGGCAGATTATCAGAAAGACTGCCATGTTTTTGAAAAGTCACCTTTTGTTTTTTAGGTGATATTTTGTCCACTTGATTTCTGAAAGAACAGCTGGCGGGTTTTCATTTTGGACCCTGAATATTCCAGAAGTATCTCTGTTTACATGCAGTCTCGCATTCTGCGATTACATTGAAACGCGTTCAAACCATGGCTACGACCTTCACGCAACTTACATTTCCCTCTTTTTTTCCATTTCAGACATTTTGCTTTTGCTCTTGTCACAGTTTTGCCTGAAACGGGCTTTTCTTTAAGGCGTGTGTCTCCACCCCTGCAATCTGTTGGCTAGTGGTGTTTTGTTCCCAATCAACCAAACTGGAAGTAAACAGGCAAAACACAAAACAAATTGAGACTATACGGATGCTCAATGATCACGCTGTGTTATTTTTTGGCCAAATATCAGTAACAAGCACATTCCTTCTCGGTAAATAATGGAGCTAACAGAAGTTGCATTATGATGCGTTCAAGCTCCATTCAGTATTGGGCGATGGTAAATTACAACGCTGTTATAGGGCTGGGCAAATATTGATATCTATATCGACATATGCGGTTAGATATTGTGGCAGATTTTGAATATGATTCAATTTACATTAGTGTCATATAGAATAATAGTGCAATAGTACATTTGTAGTGTTGCATGCTTTTCTGCAGCAGAGGCATGTTGATGACTCCTCACTAGGGCTGTACTCGAATATTCGTTCGTTGGAGTACTATTCGTGTTTCAATTTCGTTATTCGGATATTTTTTTCTTCTTCGTTTTTGCAATTCAATTAGTTGAAAACTCC